GGGTGGTGACGGGGACGCGGGGGGCGGCCTGGGGTCGAGCTGCCCTTCCTCCCGCCCCCGCACCCCCAACCTGGAGCAGCGCGAGGTCGTTCCGAAGATGGGGCGGCGGCTGGTAGTCGGGGTGCCGGACCACCGTCCTGATGCGGCCGGTGAGGCCGGGCTGTCCGAGCGCGTGGAGCCCGAGCACCAGCCTCAGCCGCGCCATCCTGCGGGCGGCAGGGTCGGGCGTGGGCGGCCCGCAGCCCGGGGACCCCCCGGTCAGCTGCATTCCAGGCCCCTCGCTCGCTGTCCCCCCCCCTCCCCCGCGGCCCTCCCCCGGCCTCTCCGTGGGCGGTCCTCCCCCTGCTCCTTCTCTGTCCGCCTCCTCCGGGAAGCTGTCCCTGCTCTCACTCCTGCCCCAGACGCCAGCCCAGCCCTGGCGAGGGGAGGGGGCTGTGTGTGTCCAAAAATGTGGACCCCCCAGCCTGGGGCTCCCCTCAGGGGGGCTCCAGCCTCACCCCGTGCGTATGTTATGCCTCAACCACAGCGATTTGTTCAGAGGCTGGCACACCACCTAGGCTGGGCCCATCAGTACCTGTCCTCATAACTTTGCCCAAACTATAGAGAAGCCAGCTCTTCCCCCAGGACTTGAGGGCCCATCCTTGCCACCAGGTGAGACAGCCTTCCTGATAATGCCGCCAAGGGGCAAGACAGCAGAGCTCAGAGACAGACAGGCTCTTGAGGGCCTCATGTGAGCACCTGGATCAAGCCCTGCCTGAAGCTTATAGCCCCCTAGACTTTTCAGTTACATGAGCCAACAGATCCTCTTCGGTTACCTCCGCCACTTTGATCTGGGATCTTTATTACTGGCCAATCCAGAGTAAACTTTGTAGCGAGTAAACCTTCCCCGGGAATCCATAATGTCACATACGCATGGTTCAGCAATCACCCGAGAGTGAAGGGGACCCCCCCACAACCCTACGATTGGCTTAAATCTGCCAGGACCCACCCCCTGGTGAGAATGGGGGACCGAGGGATAGATTCAGGGACGCCTGGGGTGACAGAGGGGGTGCGGCGAGGCAGAGTCACTCACGGCTGGATCAGGCAGTGGGCAGCTGTCAACACCCACTTCGGGTGCACGAGGACACCCCCACACAGGTGGGTGCCCGCCTGCTGCAGCGAGACCATGTACGGGCGGGAGTGGGGAGCTGCCTCACGACCCCCGATGATGCGGGTCTCAGACGCGTTGCCTCCTGGTGAGGGGACAGAGAGTGCCACGTTAGGGCTGCTGCCCCACCCCGGCTGTGACCCTCCTTCCCCAGCTCCTGGATAGACTGACCACCCTGACACAGGCCCTTCTGTTCCCCGAGACGGGCAGGTTGACAGGTGGGGCGGTCCCAGTCCCTCCACATCCCTCACCCTCACATCCCGGTCACCAGCAGGTGACCATCCCACATCTACCCCCATCCCTTGCTTCTGGGCCCCACCGGGCCTCCCCCGGACACCACAGCACAGCCTCTACCCTGCTGCCAGAGGAGCTGGTTGAAGAGGAGAGACTGGACCCCTGTACCCGCCAGGCGGGGATGTGAGATGGTGCAGCTGCTGTGCAAACGGTCTGGCAGTTCCTCAGAGGTGAACAGGGTTACCCCCCGACCCAGTGATTCCCCTCCACGAGAAATGAAAACACACGTCCACACGGAACCTGTGCACGCACGTCCACGGCAGCACGATTCACGAGAGACAAAGAATGGAAAGAGCTCAAATGTCCATCAGTGGATGACTGGACACACACAATTCCACCCACACACTGGAATATGATGCAGCCATGAAAAGGAGTGAAGCCCCAACACAGCCACACCGTGGATGGACCTCAAACACACGATGCTCAATGAGAACCAGACACAGGACACATGGTATGTGAGTCCATTGATGTGAAATGTCCAGAATAGGCACATCCACAGACAGTGGGTTCGTGGTTGCCAGGGGCTGGGGCACGGAATAGGGGTTCATTTGTGGGGATGGAATGTTCTGGAATTAGACTATGGTAATGGTTGCACAACTCTGAATTTACTAAAATTCTCTGACCTGTACACTGTAAATAGGTAAATTGTATAGCATGTGAATTATATCTTAATATGTTTTAAAACCAATCATGAATTTAAAAGGATTGATGTTTTTAAATGTAAATCAGCTCAAAATCTTCCTACAATCCCCCATCATGCTTTAAGCACCCACACTCCCCACAACCCAGAAGACTCACGTCAGCTGGCCCTGCCTCCTTTGCACTCCCCCTCACTCCACTCCAGCCACCGGGCCTCCCTGCTGTTCCTCCAGGGCGCTGCCCTCATTCCCACCTCAGGGCCTTTGCACGTGCTGTTCCAGCAGTGCAAAGGAGTGCCTTTCCCCAGACATTCCCAAGTCTGCTTCCTCACAGGGTATCTGCTCCAAAGTCGTCTCCTCAAAGACCTCTCCCCAACCTCCTTAATACAACCCTTCTCTGCTCTGTTCTCTTCCCAGGACTCACCCCTCCCTGATGCTGTACCACACACAGTCTTGCTCAGTGCCCGTCTAGCCCCACTAGGCTACAAGCGATGTGAGGGCAGGCCCTGTGCCTGTCTTGTTTACAGCAGGTCTAGGAAACTATGTGCTCAGCAAATACTGATGAGTGGATGAAAGGATGGATGATGAATGGATGGATAATGGATGGAGGGATGACGGAGAGATGAATGGATGGATAGATGATGGATGGAAGGATGGATGGATGGGTGCATGCATGAAAGGATGGATGGATCAATGGATGGATGGATGGGTGGATGGATGATGGATGGATGGATGGATGGGTGGATGGATGATAGATGATGGATGGATGATGGATGATGGATGATGGATGGGTGGATGGATGATGGATGGATGGATGGGTGGATGGATGGATGGATGGATGGATGGGTGGGTGGATGGATGGTGGATGGGTGGATGGGTGGATGGATGATGGATGGATGGTTGGATGATGGATGGATGATGGATGATGGATGGGTGGATGGATGATGGATGGATGGATGGATGGGTGGATGGATGGATGGGTGGACGGATGGGTGGATGGATGATGGATGGGTGGATGGGTGGATAGATGATGGATGATGGATGGATGGATGATGGATGGGTGGATGGGTGGATGGATGATGGGTGGATGGATGGATGATGGATGATGGATGGGTGGATGGATGATGGATGGGTGGA